ATATGTTTACCTCCCCTCTTTTCCACTCTATTCTATTGCACTACCTTGCTTATTCTACCTCTAAAAACTAAAAATTAGGAACTATAAATTAGCAACTAATGACTAAAAACTATCGCAACTTTGGTCTTCAGCCTCCTTGCTGTGCCTCCTTCTTGTCCTTTCCCCTTCTCCTCTCTATTATTGCTTTCAGTTCTGCTAAACCTTCTCCAGTCTCGCTTAGCGTTTTTCCTATGTCCTTTGGTCCTCCCGTTATTTCACATTCTTCTGTTACATGTCTTAGGCCTTCTTCTTTCCTTCTGCATAGTCTGCATCCTTTTTCCCCCCTCTTCTTTCCAGTATTCCCTTGCTTTGGTCTCGTCTCCGCATCTGAACCTTGCCAGTATTCTTCTGTCCTTCCATTTCATTCTCCCTTCTATGGACTTTGGTCATTTTTCTCTGGCTATGTTTCTGTAGTGTGTATTATACTTGGATTTCCTTATCCTTTTCCCCCTCTCTTCTGTTTCTCCCTTTCTTCTTTCTTCTATAATTTGGTCTGCTGTCATCCTTTCTTGCTCCTCTCCTGTTTCTATCTGCGCCCCTCCTTTTCTCACCTTTTCTTGTCCCTTCTTTCTCTTTCTTGCTCTTTTCCCTTCCTGGCCATTCCCCCATTCTCTCTCTCTCTCTCTCTCTCTTTCCTTTATACATTCTTTTACTAATTCCTTTTTTGATTCTAGGGCTTTCTCTTCGCACCTTGCTGCTGTTTTTAATGTTTTTCTCTCATTTCTATTAATTTGCATTCCTCTATCAGTATATAATTTGGTGTTGTCATGTCTAAGCCTAATATCCATTTCACATATCTCCTTTGAACTCTGTCCAGTCCTTCTTCCATGTTCCAGCCCCATACCTCTCCAAACATCTTCATTCTCCTTTTCTAGTCCTATTTGAATATTCTTTCTCCCACGCTCCATGTTTTCTTCATTGCAATTGTTGCTCTCTTTTTCCTATCTTGTATGTGCTTCTCATCACTTCCGCTTTTCTGCAGTATATACCCTAGGTATCTTATCTCGTCCACCTCTTCTAATTCTTGCTCTCCCCACTTCCATCTTCTTTGCCTCCTTTTGCTCCCTCTTTTTTCAAAGACTACTATTTTGGTCTTTCCTCTAATTGGGCTTCCTTTAAAAATTTTTTGAGTCTTTTTAACATTTCTTTTAGCTCCTCTTCTCTGTCCACCATCAGCACAATATCCTCTGCATATGTTAATGACCGCACTTTTCTTTCTCCTATCATTATGCCCCCAGCTTGTCCTTTCCTTAGTTCTTCTTCCAGACCTGCCACGTATTTTTTTTTTTTTTTTTTTATTTATTAAAATTACGATCAATTCTCGCGTTGAGTAACGTATATATCGAATAACGTCAGGCTCAATGGGCACCCTTGTCTGACTCCCCTCACAGTCCAAAATTCTCTTGTGTTGTGGTTTTTGACTCTCACTATATTCCTTGTTTCTTCATATATTTCTCTAATCCTTCGGATTAGTTTTTCGCTATTTTCCATTATTGCCCATTTTCCTCATCTTCTCCTCCAGTTTCTCTCGGCTTAGCCTGTCGAACGCCGCTCTTAAGTCCGCAAAACAGGCATATAATTTCCCTTATAAGTTCCTCTAAATCTGACGCATTTATGGATGATGATATTTATGCATAATGTATTGTATATTAAACATCTTTATAGAAGATATCAAAAATAAGAATTAATTTATGCAACCCAACGTTCTATCGCTTTAGCATTTGCGAACGAATCATTGGGCGAAATGTACATATTCCACGATACGTCATAATTCATACGAAGCTGTAGGTGCGTTCTAATGAAAAGAAACGCGACGAGAGTGATACATGGCTCGTAAACGCGAAAGGATTAATTAACGTGTCAAGGTGATATATTTAATATATTTTTAACGCATTTTTATCATAAGGTCTAATTGATATTCTAAATAAAATTACTAGAAGTTTAGATTATAACGTCTAAAACTAAAAATATTAGAGGACCGATAAAACGAAGACAATAAAAAGCAGAGAAAGTTTGCGTCCTCGAAGATAATTATGTGTCTTGCACCATGAACAAATTGCATTGATGAAAGTTTCACAAGGCCAACCTTTTCCTGCACATTGTTACTGCAATATCAGTGTTTCGAAGCATTTCAAAGTTGCGTTACAATGATATATTTAAAATGAATTTTTTTTAAAGCAATAAATAATATAAAAATGTGTAATACGTAATAATATATATAAAATTGGAAAATAGTATTTATTGAATATATAAATACATAGACACCGTTTTAGATTTTGTATAATTATCGTTTAAGTTGTATAGCTTTCATAGATCTTACGAAAGAAAAGGAAATCTTAGATGTTATATAGTATACAGGCTGCGACCGAGTAACGCGTGCAGGCATGAAGTGATTTTTTATGAAATAACAGAAAGAAAATATAGAATAACACTTTTTATATGAGGCTTCGTTTTCGAGAAAATCGAGTTCAAAAACCTATCAAGTAATACTCGAACGTGGCCGATTCCGGACTGGACAAGAATAAGTAATCGACAGGACGTTATTCTACGTGTGAGAATGAAAATGTAGAACGAAATTTTTCCAGGCTACACTTTGTTTCCGCGAAAAATAAATTTGCATATTTATTACACGCGTATACTAGACCCATTCTTAAGAGGGTATTCCGGTCTAAAGGTATGAATTTCGGGCGATTTTTGAAGCTCTGTACAAGCGAAACAAAAAATATTTTTACTATCCTTCTTTTTAGCATTTGTTTATTGATATTTCGAGATTACGTAAAAAATTCACTGGAGAAAAAAACTCAATATTTAAAAAGTTACGAGCTGGCAAAGTGGGTGCTGCCAAAAAAATGGGGTGTCGTGGCGTGCACGATATCAACCCTTCTGGTCATCCGAAACAAAAAATGCGAACGGATTCTTAATTAGTATGGATGCCGCTATCGTCTGAATCTTGGAAAAGTCAATACAACATTTTTTCACAAAATTACGGCCGTTTGAAAAAAAATTTCTTATTTCGCACGTTTTGTTGACAATTCCGAACGTTTAAAAAATAGTAATATTAAAGATTTTGAGCTGAGCGTGGTCCGGACGATAGACGAGTATATAAGGAATATTCAGACCAAATTTAAAATAAATCGGTTCGTTAGAACTTGAGATATCGTGCACGCCAACTCGGAAAAAGTAGTTTCGAGAAAAACGTGTTTAAAGTTTTGAGACACTACCCGCTAGACCTAAACGACAGATTCAACTAGTTATTTAAATTAAGTAACATCTACTTATTTACAATATTTACGTACAAATTATACTTATCTATAACAAGTATTAACTTATTATAAATAATTAGTCATGTTACTGCGCCACGGCAGAAAAATTACTGAAAATTCTCAACGCGAGAATTGATTGTAATTTTAATAAATAACAATAATAAAAAAAAAAGTTTTGAGACGTAGGTACTCGGGCAGCGTCTACCGTTTATTGCACATTGGTCCCGGTCGGACCGGAACGGATGACGCGTCACAAAAATGACTGTAACTCATAAAATAATTGAAATTTTGAAAAATCCTTTTAAGGGCATATTCTTGAATGTCTAAACTTTGGAAACATGAAAAAAAAAGGTTCGATTTTTTCGAATTTCTAGACCAGAATACCCCGTTAACTAAACATGTTCAGACCCTCTATCTTCTTGAAGATGAAGCCTTAAGGCTTAAGCGGAAATTTTATTACTTATTTTTACAATTTACTTATTTTTATTACTTATTTTCCCACGTAGAATAGCCTCCCGCTGATCGTTTATTCATACCCAGTCGGTAATTAGCCAAATTCCAGTATACCTGACAAATTTTCCATTTTCTCGACTTTCTGAGAAACGAAGCCTAAAAAGATTTCATTTCATATGTTGTAAGAAGATGTGAAGTTCAGACATCTGGGACAGCCACCCAGCCTCCGTCACCCTCGACTGAGAAAAGAGAAAGCGTCAACACTTGAGGGTATCATAAATTTGATGCCCTCTTCCGTACGGTGTTCTGGGCTTAACGGGCCCCGACGTTTCACGAATGTGACGCTTGATATTTTCAGGTATTCGTATACAATCGCCAAGACGACGCGAGTTCGGCATTTCTGCGTCTATAGAGCGTGCTGTAAACGCAACTACCTTGAATTCGCCTTCAGTACTTTGTCATAATCTTCCGCTTATTTTTTCACAATCAAACATTTCATATCCGCTTACATGTTATTCGGTGCACATCCTGTATTAGTATTATAAAATTCATTGATTCATATACATATATATGTCGGGTTATCATTAGGATTTAAGTCGCGTAATGATTCTTCATTTGAATTAGCCATTGTTTTACAAAACAGAGAATATATTTACGCGAATAAACAGGATTTTACAAAATATTATGAACAATGAGTTTAATAAATGATATGATTAACAAACGATAAGTTTAATTAATAATTAGATTAAAGAACAATAAGTTTTAACGAACAATAAGAGGAACGGATAATATATCTTACGAATAATGAATTTAACGAATAATGAGATTGATAGGTTTTACGAATAATGAATTTAATTTACGCTATTAACAATGTTCCGGGGTTCAAACGAATCCACGGTCAACGGGATAACTCAAAATAATTTTTATAACACAAAAATACGTTTGCTGAATCACTCGGTAAATTACTTGATGTATCACTTTCCAAGGCGATCACACGAATGAATATCTGATGAAAATCTTTTTCGCTATATTTGCATTTGTTCGTTATATGCTCGCTGGAGACATCGAGAAGGTTCCAATCGTTGTTGCTAGGCAATTTCTGTCAAAAGTTTGTTGTATACTCTTTGGAAACATCGAGAAAGATCCAAACGCCGCTACTAG